TAGCTCAATATCATCCTCCAGGAGTTCTCTAGTTGAAGTTGACATTTCTTAATTTCACTTTTATAGATGTATATTTCTCTGAGCCATCTCTGAGTTGCTGCATATTCAGTCAAAACATGCCTACCTTCCACTTTATTCTTGGAAAGCTAGTGATTGTCCTTTCCAAAACATCTTTCCTACATACAGATGGGTTAGTATCATAGACTCTGCTATGAACAACCATGTAGAAAATTGTATACAGGTCCTGACAGCAGTTGCCCACAAGTGTGTTTTTATGCCTCTGTGACAATTAGCTAAACTTAGTTTGACAGGAGATGCTGTGCCCTACTTTTAAAAACCTTACACTGCCGACATTAACACATGCCATAGTGAGATATTAGTTGGTGAGTTTTCTCATACCAGAAATTTTTGTGGGTAACTAGTATAAACCTACCAGCTACAGAAAAAAACCCCCTCTGCAACTATCTTCTAAATATTTGTTTCTTATTTTTAAAATAACCTACTCAAAGAGAAATAAATCTTGCTGGTTTTGTCTGCATGCAATTCTTCTTCAGCTAAACTGTAACAAATTTGTCTCTGTGTGTGACTGGGAGAATCCTAACTGCTCATCCCCACTTATTAAGAGGGAGAGATCATCAGCTATGTTTATCCATCCAGGCAACCTGGATGTCTTATTTGGCTGGGTAGTAATCTAGCAGAAGCATATCATATACCACCATAAGACTATGTGACTTAAATAAGTAGCTAAACTGAGTTCTCATCCATCCTCACCCACGGCTCCCACGGGGAGGAAGAATGGAATAAGAAAATCAAACTAAATAGGGCCTTTTCATTAGTTTAATTTCTATAGTTCAACACTGTTTACGTAATAAAATAATAGCTATAGATTTTTCACTCTTTAAGAACAGAACAAGTGAAAAATGTATATATCAAAATTACAGCATCGATGGACTGCAGATACCACACTATTAAATGTATGCAAAAGAAATGCTTAAGTCATTTGACTGTTGTTTTTTGAGAATTGTCTCTGCCCCAAAGTTTTCACTTACAGTTTTGCCACTGAACTCTGGCTCCTGGAACTGCTCTCTCTCCTATCTGATCTGGCTCTGATTTGTTAATTTTCTACTTTAAAACTGGAGGCTTTAAAACAGATAGCTATCACTAGCCCCGATCTGAGCACTGTGAACCCTAGCAATATATCTCCTGAATCCCACAGTCTGTTACAGGAAAACAGAAATTATAAGTTCAGAGGTTCAAATATTGTTTTTTAATGCAATTTTCCTGGAATGGTACGGTAGTAAGAATAATAGTAAAAATAAAATTAAATGTGCTCTAAACAATTTTCAGGAAGATACAGAAGGATTCTTTTTGCTAAAAAATCTTTTAGAAGTTGACTCTGCATTTTAAATTTCTATAAATTAATTAAATAAATTGTCTTAAATACAACAAAAACATTCTATCTCTCTAGTCTTTACACAAAGATAATACTTCAGACCTGACAAATTCCTACTACTATCAGAAGACACATTATTTGATTTCCACTCATTTACTGTGAAGCCACGGAAAAAGGTTACCAGCCGTCCTCATCTGATTGCATATGTGGTGCCCGGCTTTGTGGCCCAGCTTTTCAGCTACCATTGTACATCTTTAGCTGCCTAAATTGGTGCACCTTGTGTTGGCCAGAGAAAGAAAAAGCATCAGAACTTCTGAACTGCTTTTGGACACTTAGGCTGCATGTCTGCGTCCCAGTGCCCCCAGGGTATAAACTCTAAATAACATCAGTTCCACATCCTGAAGCTTCTGACTGAAAAGTGCAATTTTCATACTAGATGTAAAGCCAACATTTCACTGAAAGTGTAAAAACTGATGTCCCTGCAAGGGTAAGCCTGCTTTCTGGCTGAGGAACAAGAAAAATGAATGCTATAATTCCAACAGAGAGAGTCCCATCTTCCACCCAATACGGATGTGGGAGGAGGAATACTGAGCCATCATTTCATTACAAAACACTTAATTTTGTTCTGGCAGCTGGTAGGACCCCAGCTGTCCCTTTCACTTTCACCCTGTGACAAACACATGGAGCGCTGTAATAATTTCAAGCACAAAAATGGAGAAAAGATGAACAATAGTGAGTTGCTAAGAATGCTCGTTTACATGGGATGTCTTCCCGGCTGCCCCAAATGACTTGTTTTTCTGTTAGCCCAACTGCATCAAGAGCTTTTGGCCATATATCTAGCTTGATTACAGGACAGATTAGGTCTTAAACATTTCTTATGATTAAATAAAGAAGCGTCAGGTTTTAGTCTATTGACAGTAATGGCTCGGTTAGTAGCTGGCGTTTCTGCTTCAAACAGCTCCTATAAAGGAAATTACCAGTACAAGAGAAGTTTTTTCCCTATGAGACTGAAAAATTACATGAAACCATATATACATCGTAAAATACCAATTTTCAGACTGTTTCTCATTACAATATGCTTTAACTATTGGTAGAAGAACCATGGGGTGAGTGAAAAGGAATTACGTATGATTGAATGTCTCAATTATACTTGATAATTGCAATGAAGACACTGGAAAACCAGTCTGCTTCAATGACCTACCTAGAGGTCTGGTAAGGGCAAGCAGGGGGCTGGATTTCAGTAGGGAAAAGCACATGAACAGGAGGAAGGGGAGGAAACAGCTGCTGTTAGAATGGTGTATTTATATACTAGTTTACAGAATTAAACATTTCATAATTTAAAAAAGTGGTCTGCAATACATTGGAGCAGACTCAGCAGAGTATGCCTTACTCTGCTGGAATCACTAGAACTTCACTGGTGACAGCTCTTGTCCACCCTACGGAAATAAACTCAAAGTGAGAAGCCATTCATATCACATGAAACTTCTGTAATACAGACTTTTTTTTTTGAGACGATGTGGCTACAAATGTCAGTAAGCATTTCATCTACTACAGAGAGACCAATCTTAAATTGTATTTCGTTCTTGATGCTGAATTGAGAACGTTCAGAGAAAGCATTGCAGATAAACTTTTCTTACTAAAGTAGAAAAACAGTGTCATTTCCTCCGCTGAAGTCCACTTAGCATATTTACTATTAGTATCACCAGTAGTAGTTGCTATGAAACACAGAAGCAGCAAAATGTAGATTACAGAGCTTAAAAACTAAGCTTCTCAAAAATGTTTCTCAAACGAAGTGAATAATTTAATTCTAGGAAGTTATTATAAACAAATATCTTACAGATTGTCTTTTGGAAACTTGGATATCTTCATATAGTTACAGGGTGGTTCCTTACAGAACAGGCTATAGTCCCTGCAGACTGAGGCTTCCCCTTAGTCAAATTTACTAATTAATTATCTAACAAATACTGTATTAACCTTTCTAAACTCGGGGCTAGAGAAGCAGTGCTTTAGTTTTTGAAAACAGCTGGCAGTTCACATAGTAAGACTTTGAGGAGGGCTGGGGAGGACAGAATGGCACGGTGATTACAGAATAACAGTTCAACTAACGAAGCTGGACTTTGGGTTGTTGGATGATATGAAAAAAAATATCCTCAAGTATCTCAAAAGAGACGGGGCACTAAAGAGTTTATCTGTGACAAGCCTCTTTGTTTCTGCAGTCATCAGTGAAGATACAGCAAAGGAAATGGAGGAGCTGCAGTTATGCATTTGCAATACACAAAGTCCTTGTTTTCCCACTAGGCACTGCAGAATCGCAATTGTCCATTCACAGCACATATCACATCCTCTGCATTTCAGAGCTAATATTTTTGCAGTCCTTAAGCTAGCATGCTTAAGCCTAGTGTAGTTAATTTTTGTAACCCTTTGAGGTACATCGCATGAGGCGGGTGTGCTCATGTTCTGTTCCTTGTTATATGAATTGTTTTTTCAGGTATAATTCTTAAAGATAAACTAAAAGATTTTCAAATTGCAGAGGGTTTATATCTACAGCAATACCACAAACAGAGCTGTAAAAAGTCTCATTTCACAAATTGGGAAAATATGAAGATTGCTGGTCATTGAGCATACCTGTATATTAATCCAATTAACAATAGAAATCAGCTGGGTTGGCTGAAATTATTTTTAAGACCACTTGTACATGCACACACACACACACACGAGCTCTGACAAGTGGCTCCTCCTCTTGTATTTTAGAATCACACTCCTGAAAACAATGTTAGCTTTATGCTAGCAGTTGCTTTCATTTCCTGCAGCACACACTGTCCACTGTAATGCTGCAATACTCATTCAAGGCAGATCACTACCTCGAATATGAATTGAACCTATATGTCATCAAACGGACGTCAGGCTACATTACTTCAACTTCCAAGCAAATTTCCACTTTTCTCTGTTTAAGTAGCAAAAGCTATCTGAAAACTGGTGTTGATATAAGACGATCAGCTCTCTCCCTTCCCACTGAGGATGTGCTTATAAGTCAAAGTGCAGGCTGCTTCTCAATTTTGAACTTCTGAACCCAAATCAAGTAAAGCAATCCTAGCATGTAGTAAAAAAAAATGATGTGGTACATGTACTCCTAAAAATGAGGCTGATAACTGTTTTCTGCTTGATCTGTTTATTTCCAACTCTTTCTCTCTCTGCTCTAACTCTCAGACAAACTCGCAGCCCCCTCAGGATAAGAACGAGTTTCTGCTTTCTTCTCCCTTCATCTAAGCCAGCCAAGTACCAGGTCTCCTCTCCTGCCACAGAGCAGTAGGAAAACATATAGAAAAAGCAATCACACTTTCCTCAATAAGGTCAGAAAGGAATACAATAACAGATTCTTTCTGCAATCTTCTTTCACCATGAAATGGTTAAATCAACAGAAGTTAAAATTTTCATCTAGTTTGAATACAGAGAAAAAGGGAGGAAATTCAAAAACCGGTTGCTGTAGTAACAATCACCAGTAAAAATCTTTTCCACTAAATAATAGTATTATCTCCCTCTTCCCCTCACAATTTTAGTTCCCCTTCAAAAATAATCATGCTGCCTCCTTTAGATTTGCTGTACATACCTCAACCATTAAACAAGACATTTAACCATAGTGGCAGTTCTGTGACCTTTGAATGCCGTGAAATCTCTAAGCGGTGCAGCTTGTTCATGAAGACTTGTACTGCAGAATCCAGTAACTGCATCCAGGATTAGGAATAGAATTAAGTAACAACAGCAAACAAAAATAAAAATAAAAGAAAAAAAGAAAAAAAAAGAAAAAGAAAAGAAAAAGAAAAGAAAACCTCCCCAAGTCCCCCAACCCAGCCAATAAAACCACCTTAAGAAGCAAAAAGACTCGGGAAGAGAGTGCACTTTTCTGCCAGTGTAAGGGCTGGGGTAGAGCTGAGCTTGCTGCAGTCTGTCTGCCTGTGTGAGCGAGCCGAAGGCCGTGCAGGGCTGGGAGGTGCTGTCAACTGCCACAGGCGCGGGAGAGCAGACCAATCCGCGTCGGCACTGTCAGCTCGGTGGAGTGAAGCCTTTTCTGTTTATGTTTCCTCATTTCAGGAGTGACGTCAAAGGGTTTAGTTTTTCCTCTGCATGTGCTATTAATTTTAAACGACTACTATGGGAAGAATGTGGCAGTGATTTAGGCAGGCTACCCTACTCGAAAGAAGCCGGAGTCATGATTTATCTGTCCTGGATTTAGCTTATAAATATTTTATAATGAGAGGTACCAGAAAGATCCAAAATATCCTCACAAAATGGGGAAAGGCTATAAATATGCTTATATGTATTGAAGTGTTCTTAAATATACCCAGTATATTTCCCAGTGAGAGCTGTAATCTGTATGGGTTGTGGTGCAAAATCAGACCTGATTCTGCCCTTGCCCTGAAGTAAATCAGGAACTGCTTCTCTAAATTCAGTGGTGTCACGCCAGTGTAAACCTGGCGAAAGAGATAAGGCTGAGACTACTGTACACATCCCTTTATCAGTCAGCACTAGCTAGATTGCAAATTAGCAAACTTCTTTCATTACCGTGTCAGTCACTGAGGCAGTCACCCTTAAGGTCTGCTGCTCTGGGCAAACACCCATTCCACTAGCAGATCGCAGCCCAGCTGTGCTCGCTTACCAGCTCTGCTGTGGACCACCACACAGGGTTTTATTTCACACCAAAGTCCATATCAAAAGAACAGAGGCGATGGTAAAGCCTGGCTTCCTGTAGCACTTCGTCTTTGTCAGCAGAGAAGCTGTGCAGCTGAAGCTTCAAAATGCAAGTAACATATGTCGAGGTCAATTAGCATGGGCAACAGAGGCCACAACAGCACAAGATAATTGATAGGAGGTCAGTTGACAATGATAACTGTTTAGTTATCTTCATCATTTTAATTTTGCTGATTTGCTCTTCTAGAGATTCCTTTCAAAGAGATTGGTTTATGAGGCACAGTTCATTCCTAAAAAGTCCTAACAGTCTAACATTTAATTTTAAAACACATATAAGTGCTTTTGGAAGTGGATAGGCTGACATCTCTTGAGAAAGAAATTTCTCAATGATCCACAGAACAGGTACAAAAATAGTAGTAATAGGAGCTTCTCCATGACCACCAACTGATGCTACCGAAATGTGACTCCTGAGAGGCCAAAATATTTAATGAACTTTTTCTCACTGAAAAGTCTGCCTGTGCTATCACTGCTAATGTAATCAGCTTCAGCAACAAATGCAAAGGGTTATGGTGCTGTAAATGCTGGAATAACATATTTAAAGTATTAAATAAGTTAGAGATTTACAAAATCAATTAGAGCTAATTAAGTTCATCCGACTGTACTTAGAGAACTGTATGAAGCAATCTGGAATGCATAAATAGGGATATTATTTGTAGTACACAGAAAAGCATCATGTTCACCTTCACTCAGCATCGGTGAGGGGGCAGCTGAGTATTGCGCTTTGGGAATTGCACTTCAGGGACCAGTTTTGGGAATGTCAGTTGAAAACGATGTGGGTTCCAGTGAGAATGATCTGGAGTCTGTGAAGAAAGGCTGAGATTGACATTGTTTAGTCCAAAAAGGAGAGTTGATAAGAATTATTTACTATATAAAGAGTATATTTATCTAAAAAAAAGCCCCAATACTAGAGTTTATTCTTTGGCCTGGAGACATTATCTGGCCTTTAAACTCTTTTACAGCCTTCATGACTTCATAGCTGCATCTGAGCTGGTAGTAAGTCTCAGACTGTGTTTGGGAAGTGATTAGGGCAATGCCCAAACTCTGTGAGAGTCCATTCTAGGAACGTGACATTATAGATAATCAAGGTCCACTGTTCGGGCCTGTGTTCTGGCCCTGTTTATTTTACCAGTATAGATATAGGCAATCTGCAAAGAAGAAGGGAATAAATTTTTCTCCATATTCATTGTGGTTAGAACAAGCAAACTGCAGCAGAAGAAAATTGTTTGACATAGGAAAAACTAAAGGTAGGACAGTGAAGTACTGAAATATATAGGCTGTGATAGTCCGCACTGTTCTATTACTGGCTATTTTTAAAAGTACAGTTAGGCAACCATCATTCATGAGCAGTTTTGATACAGGTGATCCTACTTTGGAGTATAGAGATAAGAGTAGGGGATTTCTGAATGTCTACTCCGATCCCATTTTTTCCATTTTCTGCATTTTAGCATCAATCTTTATTAATAATATTACACCGTGTTTCATGAATTAGGGTCCTGGTACATTCAAGTTCTGCACAAAGTCTTAGACAGGTATCGTCTCTCTCCTAAAGAGGCTAGAGGTTACTTCAGCCTCTGGGAATCATGTGGCCCTCTGACAATAAGTGGTTACTGTGGTTTTTGTGATGTAGATGCTTCTTGGGTGAAAAGATGGAGGGGCCTAGAAGCACTTATGATTGCAGTTTCTACTCAGACAAAGATAATCTCAAAAGAGTGCATGCATGTAAGGATGGGAAAGAGAATGCATGGCTGTGCACAGTGTTACAAGGAAGACCTTCGTTTCCTCAGCATAACCACATGCTTCCATGATGGGATGGGAAGAAATGCTGAGAAGAAATGGGCTCCATCTAACAAAGAAAGAAGGAAAATTTTAGCATAGGTTTGCTAATCTGATCAGATATGTGCTAAAATATCCTGTCAGGCTGATGACATGAGTGTCCAAATAAACATGACCCACAGTGGCCTAGACAAAAAAGCTGAAAAAATGAAAACTATGATTCTTTAAAACATGTCATTGGAGGAAGAAGAAGACAGCAAACCAACTGATGTTCAGCCTAGATGTCTCTATATTGATGTAAAATGTATTGAAAATAATAGAAGGAGCTGGAAAACTTAATGCAAGATAAAAATTACAACTTAATTGGCATAACAGAAACTTGGTAGGGTACACTCATGTGGATATGTGACTGGAATACTAACACCGAAGAGCACAGCTTGTTCAGGAACAACAAGAGGGAAAAAGGTGAAGGAGATTATGCCACATATCTCACTCAGATGTTCAGAATGCAGCAGGAAACATGTATTGAAAATCTGAATGATAATACAAGGGAAAAGAATATAGGCATTGTTGGGGGGATCTGCTGCAGATCCAGGCAGATCAAGTGGATAACTCTCTTTGTTAGCAATTAGCAGGATTGTCTGAAGCACAGAACTTGGCCATAATGGGAGATTTTTATCATGCAGCTCTTGGGAAAAGAGCTGATCTGGACTCAGACGCCTTGGTTCATTCTCTCCAGAATAAGCATTCAGAGTACATTTGGGAACCCCTCAAATTTATAAGCCTGCCTTTTTGAGCAGTCCTGCTTGACTAAGTAATTCATTTGACTTCCTTTTATAGTCCTGGCTCAGCACTGGAGGCACTTTAATATTTGCCTTTAGCTGTTCTCCCTTCTCAACATAGGTGGCACACCAAGACATGCTACCTCCTACCATGGGATGGCACTCCTCAAACGTTCAACCCTTCCGTTGTGGTCTTTGGAAAGGAACTTGGATACTAGAGGATACTTTGGACAGAGGGTCAGCACTGCAGGTTGTGAACAGCCTCCTATTTCACAGGGTGGAAAGGAAAAACTAAGCATGTACAGAATGCTTAATCTGCCTTACCCAAACCACACTCCTTATACCCAGACATACTCCCTGAAACCTAAAAAAAATATTCATCCGAGTGCCAGTAAAAATTGTGTTTGTACATGATAGAATGGGAGGCACTGTGCATGGGCAGGCAAAAAGATGCCTCCTTCCTAAGGTACCTTCCACTTTCTTCCCACCTCTTTATTTCTACCCTGGCCATCTTTAGGAAGGGCTCTAGCATGGGACCACATATTGCTCTTCATATTGCTGTCAATGACATCTGAGGCAGTATAGTAGTTTTAGAGTGTGGGAATAAGGAGTGGAAAAAGATGCAGTGTAAGCTGCTGCCACTGCTGAATGAGTTCATGTCTACCTTTTCCTTTGCACGTCCCTCAACTCCCCCTGAAATTGCTCTGAAATGCAACACTGTAGATGTTACAGTAATTCCCAAAGGTATTGTTACTTTTCCTTAGGGCATGAGCATGTAAGTCTGAGGATGCTGAAGACTCTGTGACGAAACTTGTCCTTTGCTATGTCTGTTGCAGCTTTCTTTGTCGGGGGACAATAAGGGTGAAGAACTAGTGCAGAGGCACAGTTTTCTGTAGTCATGAAAAGAAAAGAAGGAGGGAGTGGGCAACCAGAGTCAAAGCAGCATAGTGTGAAGGAAATTTATGCTTATCTCACCCCAGGATGACAGATATACTACTCCTGAAGGTGAGTTTATATGTCATGCTGGACATACTGCTGTTGGGAAACTTTTTAAGGCAGATTTCTCCAGGCTGAATCATGTGAAACAGCTGGATAGTGACTACATGTGGATGTCCTGTGCCTGTTTATTTACAAATTAATGCCCTCAGTTAGCTTTTTAATCTTGTTACAGGTGCAATGAATGGCTGGAAGCACCCTTGGTGCACCGTCTGTGGAACTGACTCCCTTATGGTTCTCTTCTTCACCTGGGACCTGTGCAACGTTTTCAGTGTATTTACAGGCAGCCTGTGTGAACCGTCAGAAGATGCTGTCGGCTGGTGATGAGCTGAGGTTCAGGGTTGCCTGGAATGACCCAAGGCCAGGATGCAGGGGGCAGTATGACTCAGACGAGCGTGGAGATAGGTAAGGGCATGATGTTATTCAGAGCAAGGTGGCCCCAAAAGGAGGGCACAGATTGCTGATATGACTGTAGACCTCATTTATTTGAGCCGAAAAGTTGGAGTGTTGGTGCATGGTTTAGACTTCTGGGCTTGTCTTCATCTGACAAGGTGCTGTCGTAACAAGGTTACACTGCTCCTGGGAAAAGTGTCTGCAACAAGGGAACACTCTCCAGTTCCCACAAACTTATCCGTGCATTATTCTATCTGGCTTTCTAGTCTT